CCCTAATATCAATGCCAGACCCCTATCTAGCATTAGGGTCCGGTATGGATTTTAGAGGGGCCCCAAGTCATTATTTACATTTTCGACTGGGGTGCCTTGAGATTTTGCATAATTGTAAAGGGTGCTGTGACTGAAAAAGGTAGAGAAACACTGGGTTTGAGCACTCAGAACAATGCAATATGGTAGCTGAGAGTTGCTCCAGGTTAGAGTAATTTGTATATAGATCTTGTTTGAAAGGAGCCTTAGTGTAGATGTTTTAGAAGCACGGGCTAAAATAGAAAGACATGACAGACATCTTTATTCTAAACATTATGGGGGGAATTTATCATAACTGAAGCAGACAAAATCTGGAGCAGCTGTGCATGGCAACCAATCAGCTTTGCTCTTCAGTTTGTTCAGTTAAGATTTGAAAATTAAAGATACATGTTGATTGGTTGCTATGCACAGCTGCTCCAGATTTTGTCTGCTCTTTGATAAATTCCCTTCTATGTGTTTTACAAATCAGCTTCCAGCACCATCAGTGCAATCACATTACAGTACTGCAGTGACTGTCATACAGCGGCCCAGATGACTACCTCTTTATCTCATGGGAAACACTTTTCACTCATTTCCCACACAGACTGCAATAAAATGCAAATTTTATTTCAATCTGTTTACCACTTCTGCTATGAACGTTCTCGCTTTCTGTCTGAGATATTAACAGTGTACACTCAGCTAACATTTCACTCATCTACTAAAAAATTTCTCCTACAATATTAATAACAGGGCATTTTGGGTAAATCTTAGTCTAAGCTAAACACTGTCGACATAAAGATACATTTATCAAAGTGGTTTAAAGGGTAGAGGCTTTATCCACAGCAACCAATAAGTTAACAGTCATCTTTTTTGAGAATAGGAGGGCTGATGTAGACTAAATCCTAAATCTACTTCATAGTAATGCTGGCCATATTTATGGATTTTATTAAGCAATTTGAACCACTTTCCACCAGTGTTTAACCACTTGCCGTCCGCCAGTTGTAAAAAAACGGACGGACGGCACTTCAGCATTGGCGGGTTGCCGTCTCCAGACGGCATTTTTTTTTCTGCTCGCGTGTGCCCCCTAGCGGGCACGCACAGGCAGAAAAGACCCGACCAATACAAACACCCGTTACCGGGTGTTTCACATATAGACGATCGGCGGCTCCTTAGCCCGCCGATCGACTATATGTGCTCGTTTTTTTCACCTTGAATCCCGGGATCCGCTGCCCCATCTGCGGCCCGGGACCGGCTCGGAGGGCGTCAGGAGGAAGAGGACAGGAGATCAGCTCCTTGCTGATCTCTGTCCGGGCTGTGAATGCAGAAGTGATGTGTATTACATCACTTCCGCATTCACCTGTCAGTCATCTGGCTGCTATAGCCAGAGAGAAGAAGCTGATGAAGCAGATATCTGCTTTATCAGCTTCTTTTGGGGTCCACAGGTGACATTAGGGGTCCTAGAGACCCCTAATGTCTCCATAAAGAGGACCTGTCAGTGTGCCTTTGCTATAATATAGGGGGATTGTTATCCCCCTATATAATAGCAATAACAATAAGTGCAAAAAAAATATATAAAAATAAATAAATAAAAGTAACATATAAAAAAGTAAAATAAAATAAAAGTCACATATAAAAAAAGTGAACCCCCCGCCCAAATGTTTAACTCCCCCACTCCCACGTTTACGCAGTTTACCCAATGTGATGGGGCTGTATGTACTGTCCTGGCAAATTTCATTAGCACTTGTAAACTAGATATGAACACTGTCTGTCCCTCAGTTTGAGCATTATAAAAGTCAAAGTAGAGGGACAGAGTTGTCTGGAATCTGCACAAATGCCTTCACCAAAGAGACATCTAAAAAGGTAAGAAATATACTGGACGGACAAAAAAAGATCACTGTCTGGATAGATGAGAGCTGTAGGGGTTCCTTCATTTGGTAAGGTCTAGGTTCACCAACATTATGTGCCCAAAAAATGAGGTCAGCTGTTTACATGAATGTACTGAATGACCAGGTTTTTCCATCAATAGATTTTTCTTCCCTGATGGCACATTGGGCATATTCCAAGATGACAATGCCAGGATTCATCGGGCTCAGATTGTGAAAGAGTGGCTCAGGGAGCATGAGACATCATTTTCACACATGCATTGGCCACCACAGAGTCCAGACCTTAACCCCACACAGTGCCCAGACTCTCCCATCATCACTACAAGATCTTGGTGAAGAATGAATGCAACTCTGGATGGAAATAAATGTTGTGACATTGCATAAGCTTATCGAAACTATGCCACGGCGAATGCGTGCTGTAATCAAAGCTAAAGGTCCAATGAAATATTAGCGTGTGACATTTTTTGGGGATCAGTCAGTGTATATACGAAAGTCATCTTGTGGAGTCATCTCGTGGCCCAACGAAGTACTGGGCCACGAGATGTAGAGGTATAGTGAGTAAATGGGAACACAAAACAAACACATTTTTCTAAAATTTGACAAAAGTACACTCTTTAAGTCGTAAACTTTGGCTCCAGGAGGCATTATCTGTAGCAACTAATAGGATTTTAGCTTTTTTAGTTGAGGTAACATGATAAAAACACCTGACTGTTTGCAGTAGACAAGACTCCCACTCTTCCCCTTCATCAGTTTTTATATATCAGGCTTAATGTTTCCAGTAGCTGATTCTGAAGTCGGTAATATTGCCATCTGTTTATTTTATGGTTGCTATGGTTGCATCACGGTTTTGATGTGGAGTGTAATGTTTACAATAATATGAAAAAGCGGTAGCGGAACAGATGCTTGTATCCCACTAACAGGCTGTGGATGACACAAGGTTATTCTACATCCTATACATGCTATTTGTAAACTCCACTAGGCACTATTTATAACAAAGCTGGTCACATAGCATGAGCTCAATTTAATTTCAGGAAAGCTACAACTCATTTGTAAGGCTCCTATAAATGTATAGCTGATATAAAAGGACCTCAGGACAGAAAATGACCCATGTATAATCATTTTACATGTAGTTAAATACAGCTAAAGCTACCCATACACCTTACGAATATCGTTAGCTTTTCGTATGCGATCGCGTTTTGGTCCGATATTCATAAGGTTGATGGGCAGTGTACAACCGCAAATAGTGTACAATCGATCGACTTTTGACTATCCAGCAGGTTAGAAAACTTTGGTCGATCGTAATGAATGTAAGATGATTTTAAGTCAGCATACAGAGCTGCGTGCTGCTGTGATTTTTAGTAAAAGGGGCTAAAGGTCCGCTTTAAATGATTAGAACAAGTTATATTAACAGATCTAAATAGCTTTGCCTTTTGAGCTCGCAAAATAATTTTGTATACAGGTCTTTAAGTCCTAGTCTTGGAACAGTTCGAAAAGGAGAGTCACAGTTATTCTAGCTTTCTATAAGCATCCTTCAGAATTTCCGTAGCTATAACTGGGTATACATTGCTAAATTTATTATACCCACACTTTAATTTTACGGCTTCAAACTTCAGTGAAAACATGTATTGACGGTCTTCAGCCTCCCTGTTCTTCATCTCTTTATGATTTCTAGAATTGTGGGTACTACGCTATGAATTTTAGAATTGTTATGACAACTGAAGCTGTAACAAGATTTTACATTTATCATCACATGCCCAGTTATTTCTATAAGAATTTCATGATGGTTTGCTAATATGCTGGAGTAGCCCATGAGTCTCTCCCTAAAAATACTCTAGTAGCATGCCCTGTTTTTTCCTGTTCAATCTGAGTGGTGTCCTATGAAATTCTTACATACAAATTGGATTCTGTGTAACAGAAAGAATATGGTCTGAGCTCATGAGCTAAAGTTTAAAGTCATGAATTTGGCTTTTGCAGAAATCGGAATATTCAGTCCTTAATTTCGACTGTGCGGGCTTACTTGCGATATATTGATAATTGACCCTTGGTCCCATTCACACCTATGCAATATAAAGCATGGGTTGTATTGTAAAGCAAACCCTGCATGCAAAAAAAACCCATTATTTTCAGTGGTACCTGTTTAGACATCTGCTCTACGTTATTTGTTATTTCACATTATATGAAACGCAAGAGAAAGAGAAAGTTGGTTTTCACTCCCGAGCGGGCGCCCACTCTGATTGGGGGTCTGTCTGTGGCCACAGAACTGGCGAGTGAGGATGGGGCCAATACTCAGTGGGTGGGGAGCCCAGGGTGGTGGAGGCTGCTTTAAATTGTTTAAAAGCCTGGCTCTTATTAAAAATTCTAGACTGAGTGGAAGATAGTTGTCTGAATTGTCCTCACTATTCAAAACTTAGCATAGCGGACTGCACTGGTGATGAACACAAACACAGGGCAAGAACAGGCAGTGAGCAGAGCCTGTATGAAAGAGCAAATACTTTCTCTGAGACATATCAGCAGACAGGAAGCATGCACTGGAAACAATATTTTTTTATTTGTGGGCTGGCTGCCTAGATGAGATACAGGAAGTTGTGTACAGGACGCAAACAAATGTAAAACTTCTAAAATGGTGCTCATCAACATGGGCCTACTGTGGCTATTTGTAAATCCAGCCTTGATTGGGAGCCCTCAACAGATAGCAGTGCTCATCGGCTGACGAAGGACCTACTTGCGCACCTACCATTTTTTTTTATAGTACTATAGCAGTGAGAAACATCTGCTCTGTGACAGTCTATTTGTGATCTGTATCAGTGCCGGGGAGAAGTTTGCTTCCTCACCTGGACATGTGTGATCATGTAATATCATCATGTGTCTGGACAGTTGAATTCTGTAAGACAGCCCTGAAGTGATGTTGAGTTCTATACAAATTTAGGTCTACATGACAAATCCAACATTAAGATTGTACATATCTTTTAAAGACACACAGACTTTTGCACTGCGTGTATAATATATACATGTATACACTTTTATATAAGCACATTTTTTAGACAATAAGGTCCTTTCATAAAACAAGAGAAACAGCAATGCACCCAAATATATCTGACCTACCACAGCTTTACAAGAGCTTTCTTGTAAGTCCCAGATCATAAGATTGTTGTCACCCAGCGACATCAGTTTCTTGCCATCACCTAGCGGTTCCCAGGTAACACTAGAAGAAATATAAAATGGAATTGTACTGTAAATATGGATAATGTTACAATAGAAAGAGAGAGGTGAGCAGAAAAGGCAAGAACCAAACACTGAAACATGTAAATAAATGTATTTATGGTTTAATATGAGTCATGTGAAACATTACTAGAAGGTTTCCATGGAGACACGAGGTAACATAAGGTCAGCATTAAAAGTAATAGGAGTAGAAAACTCATTCATGCAGGTTCAAGTTGTACTTTACCTTGCATAATAGTAGGTATATAACCCTAAAATGATAACTCTCCGACTACGTAATTATGATAATTACAGGAAGTAACCTATTAAATCTTAGCCAGGCTAACCAAGGGAGTCCAGGATATGTAGCAGGTACATAAAACAACAATCAGGCCCTCAAGGCTGGAAGGACACCAATCTGCAAACTCCTTGCACCACTGTGGTGGACGCAACACTTTCACACACCGTTCTTCTACTTGTTGAGATGTGATTTTTAAAGAACAAAAATCTCTGGCATCCCCAAAATACATCAGTGATCACGGATCTATCGGTACAGTATGATGACATCATTGTTGGTGCTTGGCACACCTAAGTTATTCCCCTAATAAGAGTCTTTCACGTCATGTAGGAGCCTGGATTGCTGAGTCCTAAGATAATACCTAGTGGGCCCAGTGTTCCTAAAAAACTCAGTGGACCTGGGTTCCTGCGCCTCTCTGCAACTGTGAGTCTCTATCCACAAGCCTCTTAGTGTGATACTGATTAGACAAGGAAGAGGTGTCATAGTAGTGGTTTTAGTTCATGTTAACTGTGGGGTTAACAGAGGATTCGGGGCCCCATAGGGTGAGCAGGAGCATCCCTGGAAAACAAGTGATTTTTTTTGTAGTTAACCAATTGCTGCACAGGTGCTTCTGAGGACATCATATGACTAGACTATGATTTGATTGTGTCCTACTAGATCTGGGCCCCCCTTCTGGCACGCCAAGCCTCACCTATGGATGAAGAGCATTCATTTCTAAAAGGTCAGCACACGGGACACCAAACCCACACGCAGGTCATGTAAATCACATCACCAGAAAAAAGCTCAATCAAAAAAAGTAAATACCAAACCTACAAAGGCAGACGGTACATGAGTGTTTACCGAAGATTCTTGAAACTAAGAATAAAAGTAATAAAACGTTAATAAACTTTAACAGGATGAACACTGACAATAACTAATGTTCACACAACAGTAATCAATTGTTCAATCTTCTCTTTTCATTTGCTCTTTACCAGTTTAATGGTATGTTTCAGCAAGTGAAGCATTTTTGTACAAAACCAAATAAAAATATACAGACAGTCCCAGACTTACAAACATCCGACTTGCATACGACCTACTTACAAACGAAGGCTATTACTGCACAGCATGGGGTCCCAGGCTGCAGCCAAAGTGTACCGCGCAGCATTTCAGAAGTTAATATGGGAAAAAGGTGTCTCCACTGAAGCTTCATGACCAATCCTTGTTTCCACGACAACCCAAAATATTCTAAATCCAATTGTCACAGGGACAGAAAGTGAGGTGACATCTTCTGAACAGGGGCACACACAGCAAAACAAACATTACAGGGGGTTAACCCTTCCCTATACTATCCAAAACGAAAAGAAATTTGGCTGGAGTTGCACTTAAAAAATGTACCTGTTCCAACTTACATACAAATTCAACTTAAGAACAAACCTACAGTCCCTATCTTGTTCGTAACTCAGGGACTGCCTGTATAGCATTTCATAATCAGGAAATCAGTAAGAAACACCTGGGATCATATTTATAAAGAAGTGAATGTGACAGCCATTGAAGGTAAATCACATAATAAAAAAAGATCCTAGCCTGTCCAGCATGAACACACAACATTTCTTATGTCTACATACCCCCAAATATTTTTTGCTTGTCAAAACTGCGGCAACACAGGGTGTCCCTGCAGATCAACATGCTCTGGCTTACTGAGTTTGCTAGAGTTCTGAACGAGAGAGACCTGTGAAGGTAATGATAACAGCACAGTAGTCTTGCACTTTGTAGTTTCCTTTTAGATGGCAGGGAAGCTTGTTTTACGTTGCCCCCATGCCATGATGCCTTCATTACTGGAAATAGCCAGTAGCTAGAACTATATTCAAAGATCATGCTGGCCTGGGTCACTAGAAAAACTATAAAAACTTCCTATGTGTATGTAAACCCTAACAATGAACTTCCCTTATTTGTTCCCTTTTGGTCTGTTAAATATGACATTTCAAGTTTTGTTTAATATTTGTCTCTTAGATAAGTGCAACATAATACTTGATCCTGCTAGAATTCTTGTGAGCTGATAACCTCCTAGGCACTCTGTACTGTTAGCCCTGTTCCCAGCTATATCTAAAGACTACAGAACACTTCCCCCTATGCAAAATCAAAACAGAAAAACCAATGCAGCCATCAAATCTAAGGACTGGTAAGTTTAGATACATTTTAACTATATAATGTAATCAATCCTTTTTTGTTAGCAAACAGGTCTACTCTTTGAGCAATAAGCTCACTCCCGTGATGGACTATAATCTTGATACAAATTAGTAAACTAAATGTGAGATTGCAGTCCATCATGGGAGGGAGCTTTGGAGCAGTGGCTACATAACAAACAGAGACTATGGGGGAACAAAATAAGCCACCCTCCAGAAGGAAGGACAGTGTCAGCACGAATTCAGAGATGGTGTGAGGATCTACACCCAAGTGATACACAAATCAGATACATTTTTGTTCATAGTTAACCCCTTAAGGACAAATACCTTTTCTTAATCTTGTTAAAATCCACATTTTAGGCCTGAAAATTACTTCAAACCCCCAAACATTATATATTTTCTGAAAGCCAAGACCCTATAGAGTAAAATGGTGGGAGTTGCAAATTTGTATCTTGCGCGACATTAGCGGAACTTATCAAACCCCAACATTTTGTAAAAATTCACATTTAGTGCCCAAAAACACTATATAAAACCATTAAAAAGAATATATATATAAAAGAGGAGGTTACAACGAGTAAATAGATACCTAACATGCCAAGGTTAAAAATTGTGTGCGTCCGTTAAACTGCAACAGAATTCAGTACCCCTAAAAGTCCATACATGACGGCTGTAAAGCCCCTACAGGTCATCAGTTTAGAGATACATGTATATCTCTCTCTATTGGCCCTAGAATTATTGCACTCACTCTGGCGTGTGCGGCGATAGCCAACACGTGTAGCGCAATCGACATTTTCGTACGTAGGCGCACCCGATGCGTGTTATTAGCGAGGTGGAGACTCAGGCGGTTGTAGATAAGGAGTTCTAGTAGTTTAGAGGTGAATGGGAGTAAGGAGATAGGTCTTAAATTATTGGGGTTGGTAGGGCCCAGTGAGGTTTTTTTGGGGTATTGGGGTGACTAGTGCATGTTTCAGAGGGGTAAAATCCATTGGATATAGTTGACCATTGAAAATGGTCCTTTCCTAGAGCGTCTATGTTTGGTGGCTAGAATAAAAGTGACGCTAAACTCAGGAGTTAAATTCGAAAAATGCATTCAAGTACCTTCAAGTACCAATCTCACTCCTGTGATGGACTGCAGTGCTCGTGGGGGACATACATTTTTTTAATTATTATGTTCAAACGATCTGGCTGCAGCTGAGCCGCCAGAATTGCTTCTACTGTAAAGCCGGCCGCTGGTTCTAAAAATATGAACAGAGTCAGTCTGTTTAACCCCTTGAGGACTTATGACGGGATTATCCCGTCATGGGTCGTGAAGGGGTTAAGGTACTTGAATGCATTTTTCGAATTTAACTCCTGAGTTTAGCGTCACTTTTATTCTAGCCACCAAACATAGACGCTCTAGGAAAGGACCATTTTCAATGGTCAACTATATCCAATGGATTTTACCCCTCTGAAACATGCACTAGTCACCCCAATACCCCAAAAAAACCTCACTGGGCCCTACCAACCCCAATAATTTAAGACCTATCTCCTTACTCCCATTCACCTCTAAACTACTAGAACTCCTTATCTACAACCGCCTGAGTCTCCACCTCGCTAATAACAACCTTTTGGACCCGCTTTCGCACCATACACTCCACTGAAACCGCCCTCCTAAAACTCACCAATGACCTAATAACTGCTAAAAACAACGGCCACTATTCCTTACTCTTGCTATTAGACCTCTCTGCTGCTTTTGACACTGTTGACTACCCGTTACTCCTCAAAAAACTCCACTCGCTTGGACTACAAGACTCTGCTCTCTCATGGTTCTCCTCCTACCTAGCTATGCGCTCCTTTAGTGTCACCTACAATTCTAACTCCTCCCCTCCTCTTCCTCTTTCTGTAGGGGTCCCTCAAGGCTCTGTCCTTGGACCCCTTCTCTTCTCCATCTACACCTCCTCTCTTGGTCAGTTAATAACCTCACATGGCTTCCAATACCATCTCTATCCCGATGACACTCAAATGTATCTTTCCACTCCATAACTCACCCCCTCAGTGTCCTTGCGTGTCACTAATCTACTAACTGACATATCCGTCTGGATGTCACAACATTTCTTAAAACTCAACCTTTCAAAAACTGAGCTCTTGATATTTCCACCCGCCCATGCACCTTCCCCCAACATTTCAGTTGAGATTGATAACACAACTATCCAGCCCTCCCCTCATGCCAAGGTCCTAAGTGTCATCCTTGACTCGGACCTTACCTTTCTTCCCCACATCCAATCACTATCCAAATCTTGCTGCCTTCACCTTCGTAACATCTCCAAAATACGCCCCTTCCTCACCAATGAAACCGCAAAATTACTCATCCACTCCCTTCTTATATCTTGTCTTGACTATTGTAACTCCCTCCTCATTGGCCTGCCACTACACAGGCTATCCCCCCTTCAGTCTATCATGAATGCAGCTGCTAGACTCATTCACCTGACCAACCGCTCAGTGTCTGCATCCCCCCCTCGGTCAATCCCTCCACTGGCTTCCACTCGCCCAGAGGATAAAATTCAA